AAAAAATCATATTAAATAAAGAATAAAAGCTACACTACTGCATGGGGACAGAAATACAACAAAACTTTAAGACAACTTTATCAAAAACCATACCTTTAGGAAATGCCATCGTTGCAGCCTTCTTGTCCACAGTACAACCCTGAAGCCTAAAATGCTTTTTCTTTCCATTTCAGTTCTTGTGGAACTAATCAGACATCAAAGGATGCGCCCCTGGACACAGAATTTTCACATGTGGAAAAATCACCCTAATTTAAGAAGGGGGAAGCAGGGTGTGGATTCTTCACCATAACTTTTTTACAGGGAAAGCACTTTATCTGATTTAACAAGTACACAAAATTGCATTCTCAGGTGTTCCTCATATATGTTTCATCCCCAGTCTTTCAGCCTGTCACAAAGAGCACTCACTTTCCAGCTCAGACACTAGATGAATTTTCTATTCCAAAGGCCTTTTGGCAGATTGGTCAACAGGTGTTCTTTTCACAGCAGCCAATTTGCTGCTATGAGGGAACATGAAACCAAACACATTTTCTTGGGAGTGCTGCTGAATTCTATGAAGTTCCCAACTGAGCAACCTTAAGTCATCAGAAATCACCATATTACCACCTTTTGCCCAGTTATTAAATCAGTTAGTTTCTCTGTATTACAGTACCTATTATTACGGTCAGTCACCATAGTCCTTCACTCTTTGAAACTGGAAAGAGATCAAACTATCCCTAGTGAGAAGCAACTTAGCCTTCCATGAATCATCCACATATTTCTTTAGTTTATCATTAGCTGACTTCTGCAGAGACTCCAAACCTTCTGCCAGCATATAAATTGCTTCTGGAGCTATAAAACAAACATCAGCAAAGGAGTTGAACTAACATCACTTTCCTACATATTAGCAGTTGTTAAATTCAAGTCACTTAATCCAACACCAGTCCTTCCTCCTCATTTGATGACAATATGTGCTCCATACAGCAAAAGGTTTAGTTTTATAATCATTCTTCACTAAGAAGAAGTGTCTCACCACAAAGCATGAATATACCTATAAGCAAATTGCTTACCTTTTGGCATATATAAAATGTTCATTACAAAACAATGTAAAATCAACAGCTGAAAAATATCCTTTTAATTCAACTAATGGGGAATTTTCCTCATTAGCATAGTTGTAAAAATGACTTTCAACAATTTTCCAAAACTAAAAAGGATAAAGTGATTTTTAAATATTCTTAACTTTTGAAGATACACTCTTTTTCCTTGAATTCATTTTTAATCACAGGAAGTTTTCTGAATTATGTACTATATCTACCGTATTTATCTCATCATCTCTCCTGGCTGGCCTCTCAGAACCATTAATTCAATGCTCTGTCTGCTACAGTTGCTCATACTGGAGATGACATTTACGTTAGGTTTGTTTCCTCAGAAGAAAATATATTGCAAAAGGTAGTCTGACAGGTCTTCATATCCATTTCACAGGCTAAACACAAGTTACAAAGATCATTCATGTAACAACTGACAGAAATTATGAGAGAACAAGTGGAGACAACAAGATGTGCACCAAACATGCCCTCTTCTTTCAAGTGAATTGGAATTAATCGCATCTATCATTCATCCTTCCAGTAGGTTTAAAATAACAGCATAAAAAATACACCAAGAGACATGAAAATGGCCATCCCCCTTTATATGTTTTACAACTCCTGCTTTATGCAGGAAAACTGCTATCAAAGGCAATATTGCATTCTTTCAATATCAGAAATAAGGTTTTTATGTTTTTTTTTCTTTCAGAACAGATTTTATACCAATTCTGTAGAGCAAACAGAATGATGTATCAAATAGCTCAGCGACAAGTTGTATGGACATACTACAACATGACAGGATTGTCCCGTGGCAGAGAGGAGGTCAGTGAATATTACTCACATCCAAGCTGTCCAGTAACATATTTACAGATCAGAAACTTGAAGAACCCTGAAGCAGAACAGCTTCTGCTCTCCATATACCTCCAGTTTTTAATACTTTCTAAGGTATTAAAAAGTATGCAATAACTGGGACAGGGAATTTTGCAACAATTTTTCATTTTTCTGAATAAGAAAACCTCACCTATATGATATAACAGCTTTTAAAAATGTTTTTTTAAAACAAATGCCTCAAGTAGGATGACAGATTCTGCAAAATCTGCAGTGAGCTGCTAAGCATTTGCAATAAAATCCATCAGCCAGAGTCTTGGTATGTTCAGAGGTCTGACCTTCAGGATACCTTAGTCCTATAGACAACCTTTACTCTGAAAAATCACTGCATCACACTAAGCTACTTCTCCATTTCCATTTTTTCTTGTTCATAGTAATTCTTATTTTGTGTTAAAATTTCATATATATTCTGTACATACTTACAAACAATAAAAAAAGGAGAGAGAGTGAAAGAGAGGGAGAGAGAGGGGGAGAGAGTTACTGAAAATGTTTGTCCTGTCTTTCAGGCCCAAATTAATCACAGTTCATTTCTACCTTCTGTTCATGCCAGGCTGGGTAACAGAGAATAGCAGAAGAAGGAAGACCATGGAAGAGATTTAGAACTCTCAAGAGCATTGTTCAGCAAAGACTAACAGAACAAATTATTCTTACAGTGAACTAAAGTGAACTACCATGAACCATTTCCCTCTTTCTGTCACATCTGCACAATGCCTAAGCTGAGGGTAGAAGAGAACACTATTAGAAATCAGGAAACTTTTCACCTGGAAGAGTTCAGTAAATTCTGCTTGTGCAGGGAAGTATTTAGAAACAAAACAGTGGATGGGATTTTTCTTTTTCCAAGAAGCAGTCAAACGCAAAGACAAGATTCCCTTTGGGATCAAGACCACTCTTCTAGTTCTATACCTACCCAGGAAATCATGAGTAGAGACAGCACTCTTCCAAACTGTTTAAAGCAGCATTTTCTGTTGTATCAGATTTCAGTGCCAGAAGAAAATGTCCTTAAATATTTCTACATTTTCCTTTATTATCCACAAAAAAGTGCCAGAGGTGCCTCTACCTTCTTTTACCTATTTTTACATACAACACATCATTTCCCTATGAATCTCAAATCTCTACGTAGTGTCTGCTTACTGCTGTACTTAAGATGCCCATGGTAAAACAAGTGACCTCCCCTTTGCAAGATAACTCCACCACTGTAGGATATTATAAAGCCTTTACCAAAACATTTACAATATGTTGCTTATTAGTGACACAGAGTCCTCCTAAAAAACTGTTCTGCAAAAAACTTCTATCTCCTTAAAGTCACAAGCTGAAGATAGAACCCCTGGGACAAGGAGATACAGGACTGCAGGTAAAAAGCTCTATCTATAGAGACCTGCACACCTGGGTCCAAATGTAAGAAAGAAGAAAGGCTGGGAAGGCAGCAGAAGTAAGGCACAAGTGCATACCTACAAGATCAGTACACCCTCCATCGCAGAGTCAGAACTGTGTCAAGGACAGAGTAGAAGATTTACTTGGTACTATGACAATCTGACACAGACTGGGCTTAGAACAGCATTACCAGTGAAGGTATCATCACTGCATTCCACAAGATCCTCTACATAGTCCCCAAAAAACATTTATATGTTTTCAAGTCACAAAGCATTTTGGAGAAGAAGCTATGGCATATACTACAAATCACTGTGCATTCTATAGATATATCTATCTTGCAAAAACCAGCTTTGTCAAGGACACAGGCATCTGCTAGCTAGCAGGAGTCATGCTAACTGTGGATAACTGTGTATCTCTGCAAAAATTGTGCTAATCTAACAACATTTTGTCTTGCAATGGTGAAGATCACCTTAGCGCGACAGTGCCAACTGTCTTGTCATTAGCTCCATTATCACAACGACTTCAAAAGAGCTATTCTTGTTACTATACACATACATAGGTATTCCATGCAAGAACTTTGGGCTTTTTAAAAAAGAGCTAATACTTACAATATGCAAATCTTTAGCTGGAAATTGTTACCAACAGCATTAATATTTTCAGTGAATTGATTCTACTTTTTAAAATTTCTGATAATGAAATCCCCAGGTTTCATTTCACAATAGGTTGACACTGACAGGGCCATGAATCCTGATGAGAAAGAAAGCTACCATTTTATTTCTTTGGCAAAGAACCCAAGCAGGAAAAGGTATACCATGAGTCAATTCTTCAGACAGGAGTTATAATGAAAGCAGTACAGGCTGCACTCTTCACAATCCATCCTTTCTTATTGTATCAAGGTTGTAAAAGATTATACCTCCTCCAATACTCTAGGCACTGCCCCACATCATAACTATCAACACTACAAACTCACAAGTCAAAACTAATAGCCTTTAAGGTGTGGTTTATAACAATCACTCTTTTGAAGGAAGAAAACAGGTAAGGCCTGTAGAAACTAAGGACTGAATTTCCTTTCAGAGATGAGACTAAAGAACTACCTAAAAACCTTACCTAAGAATTTTACCAGTCAAAGAGATTTGTATTTCATCATGCCACATACAGTTCAAAAGTCTCTCTTCAGCAAGTAGTTTCTGAACAGCACTAGAAAGAGAAGGGGCTGAAAAAGCCCAGAATTGCATGGGCAGTTCGACCCTCAGGGAGTGTTCACTAATGGAATTACACCTCTAGTGCAACCTATCAAGTAGAATTGGGCTGTTACAGAAAAGAATGGGCATACAGAAAAGTATGAAGGCCTCTTGCAAAGCAATAACTGTCAGTAACTGTTACATTTAATTACATGTTCTCCATTATTTTCAGAGTGTTCTTGGCATCAACATGAAATTAGGAATCGGCTATTTTGCCCAGCTCACTAGCTTAACTTCATTACATGAGAAACAAACAAAAAAAAATTAATAAATACAGCTCCAAGCAGAGAAACAGTCCCCAGCTACCAGATGACATCTCTAAGACAATTATGACATGTTAGCAGAATGAGACAAGACAAGAATTTGTCTATTTTGTGGAAGTCAGAACAACACAGTTTTTCTCCAGGGTGCCACAGATGACAACATTTAAAAACTTTCTTACCTAAACTGATTTGCTTCAGGACTTGCTCCGTTCTCATCTGTTGCAACAAGAAACAGAAAAAGCAAAAGCTTGACAGTCTTCAAGACACTTGAGATCTCTGGCATTTTTCCAGATATTTCAAAGTAACAGGCCACCCAAGCTAGCAGTTGTTACAAACCTGACTGCATTATAATTCTATTCCAAAGCTGACTAACAACAAAAGAGAATAGGTGAAAAACTAAAGGTCGAATTCCTTACCTGACATAGCTCCTGTCAGCCATATGCTCAACCCAGCAAAATGTACTGTCTCTCTGAGCAATAAACCTAGAATAGGCAAAGGCTGAATTATTAACAAGAACATGAGGAGGCCTTAAAAGCACACGATGAATGAAACAGAAATACAAAGCTTACAGTCTGATTTAGTTTGTAAAGGAAACTTAGCTCAGTTGATCTATTTTGAACATGAAATGGCACACGGAAAGATGCAGGATGGTGTTTTATTGTAATGCAGAGGAATGGTGAACACAGTCTCTTAAACTGTCTTCATACCAGTCTCTCACGCTGTAGAATTTGACTAAAATAGAAATATCTGATTTTTATTATATGGTGGTTATATACATTCCCATTCCACTGGTCACCTCTCTTTTCAGTCATTAACTGCTAACGTGCTTCCAACATTCTATTTTGGCCTCCAGCTTTTTATACCAAACATTGTGGATGTGCTCTTCAAGCAACTTACAACTGCACTGATAGTCTCTAGGTTCATACTGTATTTCAGGTTTTAAACTGGGTCATCCAATTAACTTTTAATATGGCACAGCACAGCAGGAATGAAAGCTACAGATATCTGGGCAAAGGCTGGAATTTACATAACTTTGTGTCTTTGGATACTGGTGATAGCAACTAGAAAGTACCAACCAGCATAAGAAACCTTGCCAGGACAAAAGGAGATATTGACACAAATTTATCCTCTCAAGAGAGAATTTCCTAGTTGCTCTGTATTCTGTTCTGCAGAATTCTTATTATTACTTTCAATGCCATGAAGCAGACACTAATGATTAGGACAGCATTCAGAAAATTACATTATCTGTCCAGGCACTTCATATTGTTCCATCTAGATGTTAGGTTCCTAATTCTAGGGGTGGGAGATACAGCACTCATCTTAAGTATTCAAATGTGAATATCCACATGGAAGTTGGACATTTAAATTGACTTTCACAACAATGAGAAAATAGGACAAGCATATTGAGCCTGGAGGGGAGCATCACTCAGGAAAACAAAGTCTTTGTCTGCATGGTGCCTCTGGGAAACTGGGATCAAGAGATTTAACTTCCTTACTTAAATACCTCCCCTTACTTGGAATTCACCTTTCTTTCTTATACCTTAATCTCAACTCCCTACAGGTTTGAATCACAGGCAGCCAAAAGTAAAGTGGCTGGTTCCCACCTTTAGACACAAAGGAAGCTGAACAATTAGTTCCTGAGATTAATATTAGTTCCAGGTACATACAAGGCAGGAAGCATGGGTTTATTAACAGAGATACTATCTGCTTTATAGAGTCAACCTTGCTATTTAATACACTATTTTCAATCATTGCACACAATGTGAGAATAGTAATTCAGCTCAGATTAAATACAAATAGATATATATATATATTTTTTTTTTCATCAAAATGCCCAGCTTAATATATTGTTGAAGCTTTCAGCCATGAACACTGACCCCTCTGGAAATTATATCCCTTTCAAGTGTTTCAGGTTGCTTACTACAGAAATCTCCAGGGGTTACTGCCAGCCTTGCTTTGTGAATTGGAGGGGTAAACAAATTGCGATTATTTCTGCCACAGTGCTGGCATGAAACTGAAGGAGATGAAATTTTCCTGTAAATTCTGGGAAGCATATGTAATGTAAGAAAGGTCAAAGCAAAACAAAAAAAAAAAAAAAAAAAAAAAAAAAAGGTCCATGCAGAATATTAGGAAAACAGCTGAAGAGACTGATAGTAATAATTATGCTATTATTTCAAGTGGGCTGAACATATTCCACCTCTCTTCACAGTCAGTATGTTACCATGCTTCAGCAGATGAATAAATTTTCCTGAATTTTCAACTATTTCATAAGAAATATTGTAAAATTAGCTTAGTCCACTGTTTTCATACATGTAGTTCTGCAAATGTCTCCTTTTTCCACATACAGTGTCAGTCCCTCCCTCTCCACACAGCAGGATAGACGCCATGTCTGAGGAAGAAACTAGATGAGGGGTGGAGGAAAAGAGGACCAGTCAGCAAGGAGCTATGACGCGACTTGTTCCGTACAAAGCAGCAGCACCAGCGAATGAAAAATGTCATACTTCCTCCCACCTAACCACATGCCATTACCACAGACCAATTCTCAGCTGTGTTCAGCAGAGCTTTTCCCTGCTGTATAGCATTCAGATGAAAAAGCTCAGCTTTACACTGTCAGTCACTTATCCCAGAGCAGTGCCATTCTAGCTGCAGCCATACAGCTTTTCAGCTTTGGCAACAGGGAACTATGTATGGCCTTATACAATGCATTATTCAGAGAAGTTCTTTCCCAGAGAGGAAAAAATTCCTTGCAGCAATTTTGCACAAATAAACAACAAAAGTTTCTCAAATTATTTTCCAGATTTCTGAGGTGGTGCTGTGTTTCTTCACTATTTGTGTCACATGATCAACTCTCAAAACAAGAGCTGTGCAGAGATGTGAAAGATGTATGGAAAACAGAAGAAGTTAGGAAGGAACTAGCAGAAGACTGATTTCATACATTTTATTTATCATCTCCATTTCTACCTGAAGAGCAGTTACCCTACTGTCCAGGGAGGAATGGATGTTTCCCTCAGCTGCACACTGTAACCCCCCAGGTGACATCGCCCTCACTTCGTCCTTTTAGATTTTCCTGCTGCAGATCCCTTACCTTCTTCCTATCACCCCTCTCAATTTTAAGAGCTACATGGCTTTATCAAACAGCAGAGACATAATCCATCACAGCAAATGAGTCCTCATGTTGGATTCCTCAGGTTAGCACTATGAGGAATATGCCTCCATACTTTCACATGTAACGCAGGAGTCTTTACTGAAAATGCCACTCTGAACTCGTGTCCTGTATGATTGCCAGCCCCACTGCAGCTTGTTTATTGTGCTGCAGTACAGTTTAAACTCACGAAAATTAGAACACTAACAACAAAAGAAAAATTCCTGCTGAATGAAGCACTGATTCCTCCTGCAGGTGCAGAGCATTCCCAACTTCCCTACAGCAATCAAGCCCAAGACATCTTTGTGTTCCCTGGCTCTACATTACTCAAGTTCAGCTGTAGAGTAGACTGATAAAAAGTTTAGTGTTCACCTGACCAGTTATGCTCAGGGTTTGTATGAGGCTTTTTCCCTCCTTCTCCTTTTCTGTTACTGATCCATAGGCCCTCCCTTGGATTTCCTTGGATCATGAGAATTCACTTCTAGGGGCAATAGGTTTGGAAAAACTAATGAAAGAGAAGCTACAGGCACAGAACATATCTCACTAAGTGTGTTCAGATGATAACTTAAAACTAGGACTAGGTTAAAAAAAACCCAAACAACAAAAACCAAATCTTTAAACAGAACAAAAGTAAACCATTATGATAACTTTCAGGACTTCAAACCCTCTTCCTGTACACAAATGTTGTTTGATTACTCTCACAGCATGGCACTGTGCATCAGCACTTAATTCATCACCCCCTTCTTCTCCAGTTTCTCAGCGGCCAGAAGGCTGGTAATGACAGCAACTTCTGCCTTTGTAACACAAAATGTTTCTCTTCCCCGACAGCCTGCACTCAGGAGTCCCTTGTTAGTGAGCCTCTCCAGGCACTAGCACAGCAAGAATCATTGTCTTTGTCCAATGAACTTTTTATTGAGAAAGCATTTGGCAAAAACTGCAAAACCAGTCCTGCAAGTTCTTAAAGCAACCCAACTGCTAACTAAATCCCTCTTCTCTGCAGTTACAGAGTCAATAATATAGATACAATATTTCTTCACATCAAGGATTTTGGATGATACTGGAGAATTCACTTACTCTGCACATACACCAGCAGGGCAGCACGTAACGCAGAGGAAGGGATCACACAGTGGCCCTCTCCCACGTGCACACACAGTGCTGCAGATAATGTTCCCACAGCCTCCTAACCACGGAACACCACCAAGCAGCACATATCAGCACAGAAGTTCATGTTTTCCCTGTTTCTAAAACAACCCATTTGCACTTAAACTGACTTTCATTTTTAAAAGGGTCTGAAATGGCTTTTAGAAATTGATATCCACCTTGACTCCTAGCCAGATTACTATGTGAAAATCTTAGCCCAAAGGAAGAATAGCTCTGCTTGGTTTAAGCAACATTTTTATTGTTTCAATAAAACTTGGGTGAACTCTATTTTAATTTTTGCGTTACAATGTCAATAATTAACACCAACTTTGATTAACATTTGAAAGATTAAATTATAAAAAGCTGGAATACTAACTGCATTACAATTTGAATTCGACATTGAGAATGAGCTGGACTTCAATTTGGGAATATAAAAAGGGTCTTGAAAAAGCATTTTATGTGTTTTCAGAACATATTCTGCAAGACTTCACAGTAGGTTAAGATACAATTTACTGCTTTTGACAGAAAAAAACTCAGTAACTGCATCTAACTTGCTGACAGTGACCTCTATTACCATACATCATGCTAACTGAAACGTCTGTACAAGAACATAATTTTCCACCTAATAATTCCAGAAAAACCTCACAACACTGATCCTTCGTTTCCAGTGCAACGAAACTGAAATTCCAGAGTGCAGCATTTGAAGGGCAGATGAAGTAAGAAAACCTAGCTTTTAAAAATGAAAACTAAAAACCATTTTGTATTCACAAAACTAAATCTGTGTTTCAGCACCACTTCAGAGAATTAAATAGGAAGTAATTTTAGGTTAGCCTTATCTCAATCTGTGTGCAGCATTGTCTATAACAGTACCTTTTCTTTCTTTTGCTAATAACTGCATATCTCTATGTACCCGTATGCTTCAATGAATTTATCAAGTGTTATCATAGCATTTGCAATGTATATTATGGTCCACTAGTTACTATAGGTCGCTTAAGGAAATACTATACACTAGAGCTAGATCTACTTAGGGAACTTACAGAAACTTCTCTTCAGTTATTCATGGCCTTGTTCCGACGGGCCTGAATCCCGTGTCACGCCTACTTACTTCTTGCCTTGTAGTATCTTCTGCCATTTTTAATCATGGAGATTTTTTTTCCCCTGAGCACTCATTACCCATGATTTTGGAAAAACAGGTACAGCTGGTGGCCCCCTCGGAGGCGGGGTACCCGCACCGCCTCAGCAGCAGCGCTTCTAGCGGCGCAGCCGCCCCGTCCCCAGGCAGCCGGGACCCAGCGCAGCGGGGCTGAGGCCGCCTCCCTTCCCCGCCTAAGTCCGCGGGGCTGAGAGCAGAATCCGCTGGGGCCAAGACCAGCTCCCGGTGACAGTGATAAGCCCTGCCAGCAGCGACTCGCTAGAGAGGTGACAACCCCTGCCCGGCTCCGAGCGCCACAGGACTGCAAGGCAAATGGCGAACGCCATTTCGAAGCCCCTCTACGGCTGAGGCGCGACTCCCACCCCAGCCGGCGGCCGGGCGGCCCCGCAGGGCCGGAGACCTGTCGGGAGCTGGGCACACCTGAGAGACCTGTTCTCTCTGTCTCGGCACGGCCGAGGAGCCGGGGCAGCGGCCACTCGCCCGCCGGGCCGAGCGCTGAGGCGGCGGGGGCGGCGCTCGGCCCCGCGAGGCGGCGCGTGCCGGCCCCTCAGGGCGGGAGCGGCCCGGTGGTTCCGGAGAGGGGCCCGGGGAAAGGGGAGGGTGAGGTGTAGTGAGCTTTGAGGGAAATAAAAGCGATGGGTAGGTGGGCATAGGTGCCCATCGCTGGGACAAAACGCCTCAGTCCCATGTGAGCATTCAGTTCATTGTGAAAAACAGTGAATTGCGAGTGCAGCTCTGTCTGTGCTCTGAGAAATGGGTCCTGGTGTAGGAAACGGTTTTATAAAACATTTCTTCCCTTTAAGGTGTGAGGACGGGGAGAACTCCCGTCTTTGGGCTTCTCCTTTTGTAACTATTTGACTTAATTGAGTTCGGTCATACCCAATTTTCAGGTTGATTGATAAGAAGAAATGCAGGTATGTATTTCTCTTTGACATTTTTCTTTGTTTACAAAAAATCTTAGGAAACAGGGAGGTTATTCTTTTGCTCGATATGCCGATGCTTTTTCCAAGCGAACACATCACGGGGGCTGCCTCTCACTCACTCAGCACCAGTTCTGACTTTGCCTTTCGCCAGCCCATCGTGGCCATCCCCTGCTTCCTGCCCCGTTCAGTGTTAGAGGGAGCGACTGCTCTCCTGCTCTCCTCTCCGCAGCCTCCAGTACCGCTTCAAACACGATAGTCGTTCTCATCTGCATTTAACAAGTACGCTGTAAGTAATCTTCAAGATTAAAAAAAAAAAAAAAAAAAAAAAATAGGGGAGCTTTATATCCATAGATCTTTTTGTATTTATTTAAGATGGAAACTTGAAACACTGAGAACCAGTGGATTTCTCTGCAAAACTCTTTCAGTACCACCTTGACTAAATGCTGTACCAGTGTTGTTTTAACAAGTTTCCAACAGTGAAACTATCATTATGACCAAGGTGCAGTAATTTATTTTATCATCTTTCGATTAGTGAACTCTGTAATCTTATAGACACACTTTTTTCCCTACTATCCACATTCTAGTAAATTATATCAAGATAATCCTTTATCAAAACTGAAAATAACTGATGTCAAACCTTGGTTCAGATGGTCAGTAGAAAACATGATTCCTAAGCATGTTCTGAGTTTAGCCCATCACAGCATTAGAAACAATCTGAGGTGATACAAGAGTCTCTAAAGTTTTGATGAACATTTCACACTGTTGTTTTGTTCAAATTTTGTACACTGTAGTATACAAATTCTTCATCATATGCCATTATTTTCTCTTTTGTCAGCAATTGTAAAATCACAAAATCAAAGTTTGAAGAGACCCAGAAGGATCATAAAGCCCAAGTCTTAAGTAAATGGCCCTGTTGTATTCGGAATTATGTAAACAACGTGACAACAAATTGTAATATAGACAGCAAATAATAATATGAGACACATATCTGACCATCAAAAGGCTTGTTCAAGGTGGATCCAAATGTTTAATCCTATATGCCCTGAGTTTACAGAAGTTATAACGTACTTTAAAACATAACTTGTGCATGTGGTTCCAAAATGTGAGTATTTCTTACCATGTAAGAAGCATCAAGATTCAGCAAAATTAACATCTTTGTGCAATATTCTGCCTGTATGCCTTAAGTGCTCCTCGTTATTCTCAAGAACTCCTTCATAGTCAAATCCAGAAGCTCTAGTTATTCCCACATTTTTCCCAGATTTTTCCCAGATTCTTATGTTAGTTTTTGAACCATAGGAATTTCCTAATTTATTGCTACATAATTTTGGCTCATACAATCTGGACTTTTGTGAGTTCTGTTACAAAACTCTTTGTTTCACAATTTTCTTTATCTTCCTTTACCTACTTGTTTTGTTCTGATGCTGATGGTTTTTTAATCCCTTTTCACTAGGCCCTGGCTGTCCAGCTAGCATCGTGTTTCCAAGCACTGCCAGTCTGTTCAACATAGCCATTTACACTCAAGGTACAGTCGAAATGGGTGACTATACTGGGTTGGAGCTACACAAGTGCCATGTTTATATCCCACACTGCATTTCCAAACACAATGATCTTCCATGATGCAACAATTTGCATGGTAGTGGCTTTGTAAGTATAACTGAACTTCCAGTAAGGGAAACGAAATCTTGCGAAACAGAAAAGAAAGACTTACAAACACTCTGGAAAGGAGATATGATCAAATGAAATGCCATTGGAAAAAACCCCAAAACGCCAGGAAACTAGGACATTTAGTAACTACAAGAAAATGGACCAGGATTGCATGAGATGCAGTGCAAAGGGCCAAAAGATGCCATAACTAACCTCACAGATGTTGCAAAATCAGGAGAAAAAATCAAGGAGGAAGACAGAACTTTGAGGAAAAAATATGAGAGACATGGCATGGATACTAAAAAAAAAATAAATCTTCGCCAAAGTCAAAGCCATCAAAAGGCATGGGATGCCATCAAGTGCAGGGGCATGGACCAAAGATTGCCCAATTGATCCCCATTGAAATTGCAAGATTTCATTTCCCTTCACAAAAGGAAATTTCCTTTCGGGAAGGGTGTCCTGGGTTGACAAGGAAGTAAGTTTTTTGGGAAAAACTCCAGAGGGAATGAAAATGTAGGCGGGGGGAGACTGTTGTTCCCAGATGAGAGATGGTTATTCTTTGGTACTTGGCAAAGCGTCCTTGAAAGGAAACCATATAAGCAGTTCCCTTATGTGGTGAGAGCACTGTATCGTGGAAGGAGGATGTCACGATGGCAGATTTTCTCTGGGCAGTGGGTGCCATGTGTGACATGGAAACACAAGAGGTTTCAGCTTGTTTCCTGGGAAAGACTATGGTACAAGGGAGGCTCCTCTCTCCCTTGGTGAACTGAGAATTGATTATCTGAGGGGTGGTAACTTGACTGAGAATCTAAGTTTTGTCTCACTGTGCTTGGGTGGAAACTCGGTGGGGGGAGGATGAATGTTTCAGAAGGTTTCCGTTTTGAATTCTGTGTGTTCCTTTTATTACAGTTGTAGGTTAATAATTTTTTTTTTCTTTATTTCTAAGCTTGAGCCTGCTCTGCTGTGTTTCTGGTTGCATCTCACAGCACTCATTTAAGAAAAATATTTTTTCATGGGTGCACTGGCATTGCACCAGCATCAAACCATGAAAAAGGGAAACATCCGTGAGTCGCTGAAATACCATAACACAGAATTTGGAAAGGCAGCTAAATTTATCACAATTTAAGATTTAAAAAAAAACAAACAATGAAAAACCCCAAACCCAGCCTAAGTCCCCCTTATCTTAATCCTAACTTCTGCATTTCAGCAGGAAAAAATATTGGATCTCGTAACCCTTCAATTTTTGTAATGTTATACAGGGAAATGTTAGTGTTTGCAGTAATGGGAAGACTTGTCCACTCTAAACTACAGTTTATAGGAATGTTGGTTATTCTGAAGCCAGACAGAAACAAGTCATATGGAAGTGCAGCTGTTACTTCTTGTTGTTGCTTGCAGATCTCAGATTTCTTGGGTAGAAAAAGAACAGCTCTTAATTGTTGTAGTACTTCTAAGTGCAGTATTGATAGATCTGTTCTACAATTGCTGCACTAATGCAAGCCCTTCCTAGCCTTACTTTAGACTTCATTAAAAAATTAAATAATGTGTTCTTTATATGGTCATACCTAGATGCCAAAAGGTGAAAAGCTATTATTAAATGAAATGTTCCAAAATGCTATAGCCTCAAGAATAGAATGGAAACAAAATATTTCACAGGCAATAAATAATCTACAGAATTTAACTGATGAGCTAATCCAAAGTGTAGTCCACAGAAGCTTTCAGTTGGTGTACATTAAGTAGGGTTTTTTTGACAATCTATTAATTTTTAAACTGTCTTACAATATTGACTTGTAGAAAAACATGTAACCAACAAACTATAAATGGAAACACTTTAATCATAAAACATATCATTACAATGGAATCTACGCTATCTGTAACTAAAAAGTTGAGGTGTATTGTCTTACTCTGATTTATAATCTTAAAATCTCCTTATCTAAGTGGATATACACAAGCATTATTCACTACAGTAAATCCCTTTTAAAGTTAGGATTTCTTACTTTTTAAATACCTGTATCTCTCTGTACATTTTTCTTTGCCTGGAGATGGACTTGCAATTACAAAGAGAATGCATGATTGCATTAAGCTACACAAATCATAAACACTGGTGAATCAGAATTTAATGTAATCATACCAAACAGGTTTGCTGGAAGGGAAAAGAGTGCTGAAGACTTTAAGGGCACTGCTGAAATGCAAACTGCTTTCATGAAAATCTTGAGACAGTTCTGAATTTTGGGTATGCAGATAAGTACACCCTTATGTGAACTCTTAAGTAGCCAAGTGACTGACTGTGTGTTGTGTTTTATTGTCTTGTCCTACCAGGTCATACAGGTGCTGCTCCAGTTTTCCTTTTTTAGTTTTAAAATAAATGCAAATGCACTTTGTTTAAGGGTTGCCACCGTTTTGAAGAAAACAAACTGTGCAAGAGGTTTGGTAGCCAAGGTCTTGTGGCAGTTATGTTTTTAAACTGACATCTGAAATGGCATTATCTGCCTTTAATGTGTCTGTGCATACTTGCATACAAAGACTGTTGGCCTAGGTGAGACATGTAGTTTTCTTCTCTTTTGAACTAGTAGAAAAAAAATCTTGAATAGGAAACTACTGCATTACCTGAATACTGAAAACAGGAAGGGCAAAGCAACTGAGTTTTACTGCATGGATCAAAGCAAAAAACAGCAAAGGGGACTGAAAATTCAAAAATTCTTCAGTAGTGAAGGAAATGAAATATCAGCAATGTTAATGTAGGAGTGGGTTCCACCACATCTCTGAAATCAATGGAAGCAGTGAGAAAAACATTGGAGCTTCATGCGTATATGCAAAAATAACTTAAAGAAGCCAACAGCTGCAGAGTATTCAGATAAGGACCACAAAAGTACAGCAAAACTACATAGGCAGTAGCCCAGCACTGAAGAGTAAATACACTTGCATCAGGAAAGAGCAGAGAAGCAGGTGAATAATAGAACAGTTCTAGCCAAGACTGAGGTGCAAGGTACATAACCACAGATCAGCCCTTACAAATCACAAGCACAAACTACAGACCTCAGGCAGACACCATGAAACAGAAGGAGGGAGATGGAATGCCTGGTGTAGGGAGAGCAGTGAAATGTAAATAGCATTGCTGAACTAAAGTGACTTGGAATTATACTGGATTCATTCCACACTGAACTCCAGACAAAGGTGACTCAAAGGACTTTTTAAAAAAACAACAACAAAAATACACATAGAAGAGCCTACACACTGCATACTCTAGATACCAATAGCCACGGAGTCTAGCTGGCAATGTGTACCACAAGCCCTGTGAGGAACAGCTGCGGGAGCTGGGGTTGTTTTGCCTGGAGGAGATTCAGGGGTAACCTTATCACTCTCTACAACTCCCTGAAAGGTGGCTGTAGTCAGGTGGGGACTGTCTCTTTCTCCAGGGAGCAACTGACAGAACGAGAGGACAGAGTCCTAAGCTGCACCAAGGAAAATATAGGTGGGATGTTAGGAAAATGTTTTTTACAGAAAGAGTGACAAAGTACTGGAATGGTCTGCCTGGGGAGGTGGTGGAGTCACCATCCCTGGATCTGTTTAAAAAAGACTGGATGTGGCACTTGGTGCCATGGTTTAGTTGAGATGTTAGCACAGGGGTGGGACTCGATGATCTTGAAGGTCTCTTCCAACTCATTGATTCTGTGATTCTGTAATCTGTTCTGTAACATTACCCAAATACTATAAAATTACTCTTTATTCTACAGAGCTGGAGTGTGATGCTCCCAAGAGTAATCCTCACTCTTACTTTGTGAAGCTTTCTTCACAGAGGCAGCAGTAGTGTAACTGGGAGTGCCCTTACAACATCTCTTAGCTGATTATTATTTTTTAATTAATATCACAGAATATGCTGCTTGGAAGGGATCCACAAAGATCACAGAGTCCAACTCTTAGGTCTGCATGGACCATCCCCCAGAGTCACACCATGTGCCTGTTGTTATCTTTAAATCTATGCATTTACCCTTAGTGGATGAACATCTGAGCAACTGAGTGTACTGTATCACTCAATGCTAAGTCTGAGCACACAGGACATTAATAATAAGTTGGAAGGTGAACTTACCCAAATAACCAAAGTACCTTCTCCTTACATTTTCCCACAAGCAATATTTTAAACCCCCCCCCCACCCCATAGTACAGAAAATTAAATGCTGCTGAAAACAGAGTAAAATGAGATGATATTTCACATTAAGAATATCTTATGCAAATTCCCAATTATGCTGTACACAATAGGAGTGCTGGGTAAGATGTATCTACAGTTCTTTATTTGCTGCTTTTCTTCTTCCAGCTAATGAGTTCCCTTAGTATTCAAAATCCATCTTTGCTGCCACACACTTACAAAGGTAAATCACTTGAATGGGCTGAGCTTTCTTCTATTTATTGTTGCTAGGGAACCACCTTGGTATTCACACACATGTCTTTTGGCATATATTTCAGAGGACAAGATGCAACACAGCTCTGCAATATACAGTGAAAAAATGTACTGCAGCATTCCTTCAAAATATTCTCCCGCAGAGGAGCACTGCTACTGTAGTACCTTAGCTTCAGATTGCTGTGGATTTCTTACTTGTTTGTTTAGATAGATTGGAACTGTAAAACTACATGGAGTAATCTGATTAATAGTCCCTAATTTTACCCAGGATTAAAAGAGAAAGAACATCAGTCTGTGAATTAAATGTTGCTAAAATAGCATCCTTCTAATTTTTTAAAAAATATTCCTGTATAAGGGAAATGTTCTGTAAGAAGACTTCCTATTAAGTTATGTAACTAAAAAAAACCCAGTCCAAGTAGGGAGAAAGTGGAAGTGTGAGCCATTTCTGAATAGCCAGGTATCTGAAGGTTATGTGAATTACATCAGTCACCTGCTGTGAGTATTAGTCATACAAATACTGCACTAAATATTGAAAGGCAATAAGCTTCTTTAACTCTCAGAAAGTACTTATTTCTTGAGATAACAGCTTTTGGCAGGACAAAAAAGTTGATACAGAGCCATTGAAGAGGTATTATTCTGTCCAGAATCACGTCTGTCTACGGGAAACAACCCCATTTTAGTTTCCTGTTAATTTTGATTACTGCCAACACATCTGTGTGAGGAGGGATATTTGAAGTTGAGGGCAGCAAAGTTTGAAAAAATGCAAAAAGCATGAACATGAAACATGAAAGGGCCATATCTCACTAAAGTCCTGTGTGCACATTTATATTTATTGATGATGGAAGACCCTACTACCTGGATTTGCTTGAATACCAGTTGATCCAACATTATAGAGCAGAACTTACTTACTGATCCAAGAGGAGGTGTTCCTGTTGGATAAAAGTAGCTTACAAGTTGAGACAAAGAAGCAGGATAAAGTAGCTAGAGAATGTGAAGGAAACAGTAAGTAACAGTCCCTTCAGCTGTCCTGAAGATCTCAGTTTAACAAAACCTACTTGTCTGTATTTCATATGATGTGTATGTTTACACCAGCATTGTCAGCAAGTACCTCGTTGCAGAGCTGAGATTAAAACACCAGCTCCATACTAAACTCTCATGAGAACAATGGGAAATTATCCTAGAACAAAGCCAGTTTCTTTTAGGGCCTGTGGAGATACTTGGAAAAAATGCAAAGTTAATTTTAAATTTTCAAAGCTGATGTGTGACAAAGCTAAAATGACGAGCACCATAGAGAACGAAAGCAGCCAGAGTCTCTACAAACTAACTTTCAATCTGCACCCCCTGGCTATGTCTACTTCAAGTACCCTCAGAAAATACAATTTATTCACAAAGTATTGCTGTACAGTTGCAGCAGGCTCTCCAGCTGCTTTAGGCTTCTTTTGTTGCACAGTACTACACAAACAGAGCAGTTGCATACACAACAGGGAGACAACAAAGGTATGAAAGAAAGGAGAGCTCCAGTCTTTCAAGAAAACAGAAGGAAAGTAACTTTTCATAGCAAACTGTATTAGCGGCTTCAACTGCAAGGTGCAAAGTATATTCCTTGACACCTGAAAAACAAAGACTCATTAACTACTTTAGGTATTTGCCAGTATTACAAGTAATCCCTGAGAACATGTTGTTCTGATTTGGCAAGTGCTTTAGTATGCACTTGTGTTCTACGTTCAAATGCAACCCGTGCATATCTGGTCACTAGACTTAAGGCCAAAATGTAGGGACAGTAAATATTTGAACTATACTTTTCTCAGTATCAGGCATGAAGAATACTTGGTTTTTTCCAGCTCTAATCTCTGAAGGTTATCTTGCTTTGTTTTGTTATAATATTGAAAAAGAAATCCATCTATGAGGAATAAGTCCAGCGTAATTGTTTTCAATCCAAATTATTAAAAAACTTAGTAGTAATGAGTAAAAGGTATCCTATAATGGGAAATGTATTAGACATTGCAGTCGGACAAGAAGCAGCTTCTCAGTGTAAGAGAATTTGCAGGGAAATACTGCCCATCTGAGAAAACATGCAAGTAGGGGCTTTGGGCACTGTGCCCTACCAAAAGGAGACATTCATCAGCCCAGCGGTACAGATCTCACCTACTGCAGTGAGCAATATCACTCAAACAAAAACAAACTCAACACAAATTGCCACACAGCCAGCCTCGTCTGATTACGTGCACTTCCTTATATCCTGTGGTTGGTAATGTAGAACTGTGAACCTCCACACACTGGCTCAGATCATTCCTGTGGGTTTCTTTGAAAACAGCATCATTTCATTCTCATCTATGCTAATAGTCAGACAGGCTCCATTCATCACTGCCCCCACCTCTGAGAAAAGAAATTTAAAAAGAGAACAGCAGAATCTGGGTTAGATGAAAATGAGACAGAAATCATATCAAAATCACCAAAAAACTCAAATCTCCCCTGGGGCTATACACACAACATGAACTGACCTCATGGGATTCTGAAGTAAAGAATAACATTTGTTGCATACTGTACGAAAAGATCCTGTTTTTAAAAGAAAAATGTAATTTCCTTGTGAAATACTGTGAGTTCTAGAAGATTCCTACTGCAGGGGTGATGAAAATATTCATTAAAAAATTCAGGCCACCACTGAAAAAGGAAAGATGCTGTTATCCAAAGGTCAAGGCCAAAAGAAGACTGTTCCACCAAATCTCTCAAAGGTCAAAAGAAAAGAAAAAACTTAATACATAAATATTACATTCATCAAATTGAAGCAATAGTTATTCCAGAATAAGACTTGACAGAAAAGATCAAGCAGTTTTCCCAAAAGCAGTTTCTCAACTCAACAATTTAACTTTAGTTTGCAGCAGCAATGCTGGAATAGCTGGAATACATTTAAGCACTACTTGAAGTGCTATAGTTGTGAGTAAAATCATCCAAATTACTATTGCAAAATACAAGACTGTAAGCAATAAATTAAAACACGTACTAGGTTTACTCTCTATGCAAAGTACTTTGCATGCATAAGGTTTTAAGACTGAAATAACTGTCTGGCTATTGGGTGGAATTCAGTGTCAGTTTGGATTACTGGGGCAGAGAGAAAAAATTTCATGAACACACAGATTGACAGTAGACTTTTATTAACATATCTTACAATGCCAATTATTGTATTCCTAGTTTTGTACTCTTCTGATGTGTTATAAAGATTTAGAGTCTACAGTAATGTACTGTACTTAAATGATCATTCATACAGGATATCACACCAGAACATTTGAGTAATATGCACACACACCACTCTAGTTTGGACCTGTTATTTTTCAAGGTTATCTTAATAAAGTAGGAATTTAAAAGTTATGGGGGAAATAAAAATCCTTGTTTAGCAGCATGCAAGGATATTCAAGTACAATTTTTCAACCAAGTAATTTTTTGTCGTTTTTAAATTGACTGGTGACTAATTCACCAGTACTATAATAACCACTATGAAATACCCAAATGTTAAAGTTAAGGCTAATAGTTTTACTTCACATCCATATGCACAATCAGAGAACATTCTGTTTTAAATAAAACACAGTAATCAAATTCTGGACACATTATCTCTTGTAAATAAAGCACTGGAGCTTCAAACTACAGATCACTCAAGTTCATGAGCCCTGTAATAATGTTATGCTGGCAATGTAAAGAATCTTTTTGCTCTTTAACCACACTTACAAAATGGCCTGATATTCTTAATGAGCAATGCAAAAATATCACAGGCAGAACTTATAATACAGTATCAAAAAAGTAGTATTTTGGAAAAGACACAGCCATTTAGTCAGTGAGACAGAGTAATTCTAATCTTATAGGAAGTAGTGTAATACTTTTGAAATATATATATATATATATTTATATGTATGTATAAAAACCAGTATCATTTATTGTAGGCTTTTTCAAATTGCAGGTATCCAGAAGAACTCATTGTATTTACTTTTCCTTCAGTCTGTTCTTGATGGCTATACAGTCATTTTATTTCCCCTATACACTTTTCAGTAGATAATGATTTCCACTGGGGAATTGTTTTCTTTGTATATGTGGCTTTATCATAAGATGTTTTTATTTTACACATACAAAGTTTATTTTACACACAAGCTGTGGAAGTCAAAACTACCAGGGAACTGCTTGGTAGTACTGTATGAAATAGCCCACAAATGTCCAAGACTTGTGAAAAACAATAGTAGGAATATATTACATACCAGTATTTTGACTATAATCTTTCCCACCTACTTACGCTATGGATTTTAGCCCAGTTATGCCTCTTCTCATGAATTTTTTAGTCCTCTAAGCATAAATTGTTTCGGCATTCATCCAGTGAGGCTGCACATGCACTGGTAGCTCATCTTGGCTACCTCTGTTGAATTTTATTTTTTTTTTCCCTTTTTAGGAAACCAAGCAGAAAGAACAGTGATTACTTGAAACAAATAAATACAATATTGAGGAACCTCCTGAAATGACAGTAAAGATACAAAATTATGTTCCATTTTTAGAATAGCCTGCACATTCCTAATCCAATCATTCTGAAACATACATCTGGTTTGGAATGATAGGCAGGCTCATGGTTATTACGCTTGTAACTGGGATCTGCTATGTTGGGCACGAAACAAATTCCCTATATACAGCAATTTCTGTATATTATCATTAACAATTCATTCAAATGATAGGTTATTACGCTTGTAACTGGGATCTGCTATGTTGGGCACGAAACAAATTCCCCATGTACAGCAATTTCTGTATATTATCACTAACAATTCATTCAAATGATAGGAAAAAAAGAAAAGTTCCTTCCTGGAAAAAAATGAAGACAGAATGTGTGTTCTGGATTACATGAAGAGCAGTAAGATACCTAATTTACAGTTATTTCATTTACTTATGGAGGAAAAAAAAATGAAGTTCCTGAGAATGTGTAAGTTTTCAGTAATGCCTGAAATATTTCAATAGATCTCTACAAGTGAAATACTCTTTAAAATTCACCTTTCAGACCAATTATTACCATGCAGTCTCACAGTCATTTTACAGACCTAATTACAAATGCCTATCAAGTCAAAACCTCAAGCCAACACAAAAAAGGCAAAGAAATTTTATCCAACATACTTAGTAGATGTAATAGACATATACACCATTTCAGCAAAAATTGCTAAAAACTCAACTCCATGCAAAGTAAAATAAAACCCAGACAGCTACCCCTGGAGCCTCTAAACAACTCCAAGTAAATTTGTGCTTCTTAACAATAATGGACTTTAAAAAACACAAGAAAAATAGACTACTGAGTGCAATAAGATTGCTCACACCATTTTGACGATTTAATTTCAATTATTGTATCATTCTTTTGTAGCAACAACAGCTCATTTTGCACAGATTACACATGTTGACAAAGTTCCATTTCCCTTTTATGCCCATACCCGCTTCCACCCCGAGCCAAGGAGCTAAACTCCCATTCAGTTAAAGCTATTGTCAGTCAAGATGCATTCATTCATGGTAACAGCAGTTATATGGTGTGTAGATGATGATGACGATGATTTACAAGCCATTATAATGTGGCCCCCATCTTTTATTGATATGATCAAAAGTATGAGACACCCACTGCTGTTCAAGCACTTTGTATCTTTCCTTGCATATGTACAGGGGTTTACCACGCCTGTGGGGGGGAAAAAAAAAGGAAAAAGAAAATAAATAGTTAATATGGCAATTAAATGGAAAGATGCTTCATTACATAATCAACACAATACTCATACAACTTTTTTGCAGAGTAAACATGCATTTTTATTGCTGAGGGGTTTCCATTTCTGCTTCTGATAGGGTAGCAGCTGGGACTTCCCTTCCTTACACTGGATAGCAGAATCCAGACACAATCACTTGTTTTCTCAGTCATGTGTAGCCTGGAAGTTATCCTCTGTCCCTATACTGGAATCCAACTGCATTGTTTGATTAAAGGCCAAACAGCAATATTGGGAGATAAGGGTTTCCCAACACAACACAGTTAACCATAGTTGGGAATGGCTACATAGTAACCTGTCTGCTGGGTTCCTGGTATAACTCAATGATCACGACTACACACCTCTGAGCCAAAAAATCCTCAAAAACCCAAGCCAATAAAAGTCAGTCCAAGTTGCAATAAATGGGGATTTTCCATTTTTCCACACAAGGAAGGTAGAGATCTATTATTATCTGTTATTGCATGTTACAAGACAAAGTTGATCTACACAGAGGCACCAACAATGAAAGACAGCTGTAGTGAAAACATTACCTAAGATCTCTGTCTTCTTCACCATGTGCATCGAGATAAACAGAGCCCCAAAGGCAGAAACGATGGCCTCGTATGATGATGATTACAGATGCGTTAATCAAAAGGAATATTCCTGTCCCAGCTCCACAGTTTTGAGAATGCTGTAATGTTACGGGTGTAGAACGACAAGAGTGCAAAGATTATGTTAATATCTGTCAACTTTGTAACAGAAGAAATTTAAAAAATAATACTTTGTTTTCCTTCAAATAACATGCAGACATTATTGAATAAGAGACAGTTTGCGAAAGGACAGCCTGCCCCAAAATTCTCCAAACTAGAATTCAGTGTCTTGGGCTGCCATAACATCACCTGCATATAAAAATGTTGCCCTACTCAGCAAGGGAGGATATTTGCTATCATGTAAAAAACTGACTTACAAAAAATACACGAAAATATTATGTAAAATATTTTGAATTTGTTGTTGCATAGCAAACTGTATAGGATTACCAAATATTTTCCATAGATGGCAAAAAACTGGAGAAAGTATTTGGAAAAACTTAGTATTACCTCTTTTACAACAGTCAATATATTTTTAAACATTTGCTTTCTCTATCCTTTATCTCTATGCTCACAGATCTAGTCTATGGCTCTACAAATCTAATAAAAAATTTTTTAAAGTAATTCTTGCTTTGTTGAATATGCCATTCATCTCTGTGACTAGCACAGTCTATATTCATCAATTCATTTTAGCAATTAAAAAATGCACCCTTCCTACATGGTTTGATTACAAACTACAACAACAATTAATTAATTATATGGATTTTTAATTCCTTTTTTAATAACATTCTGTTTTCATGAAGCTTGAAACCTTAAATGTAACTATAAATTCTATTGTAAATTTTGCCCACCCTTTATTCTTCCACCATATTAGCATTATGACAGAGAAAGGTGAGTTCAAACAATTTCAAGACAGTCCAAAATCTCTCTGACATTTTATGCCCCATTTGTAAATATCTCTCTAAGAAACTGCTCTCGGTTTTGTGAAGTCCATGTAGTTCCATAACTGTTCAAGGGAACTAAAGAGAAAACCTATCAAAGCAAACCTTTATTATAGTATGAAAAACAATAATAGATGTCATCCAACTCAGGCTCCCGAAAGAACTTATATATATGCTGACTAGAAAACCGTGCTACTGAAAAAGTCCAAGACCTTAAATCAGCACCTGTGTAGCTACAGTCTGTAGATCTCTAGTAGGTGGTCAGGTATCAGAAAATACTCAAATCAACCACAGACTGATTTTCTATGTACTTGGAAAGCAAGGAAACAAAGCAGAGGAAAATTAAAATAATATATGAACAACCCGAATGTGAACAAATTTCAGGTGGCTGTGAATCACAACCACGTGTCAACATTACGCACAGTGGCTTTGTAAGACTTTCCCAAAAAGGAGAAATAGGTTGCTATGCAAGTAAATTGCCCTCCAGAATCCAGTCTAGGTCTATCCCTCAGAAATAAGCACTAAACTCTATCACTGGGGGTTAGACAAGATGATCCTTCAAGGGTTCCTTCCAACCCAAACTATTCTATGATTACATAAACACATTTTGAAAAGGAAACCATCAAAACTAAGCAGTGGAATTAACAAATGTCAATGAGTGTGAGATTCAATTACAGAATTGAATTAACTCTCTCTTACCAGTACACATTCACAGTAGCTCTGTTGTTTACAGCATAGTCCTTTCAAGCATACAAAAGTACCACAAACTAAGCAAACAGCAGGATCTTTAGGAACCTTGGTACAAACAGAACAAGTTTTTCTGTGATAATACTGAAAAATGGTATTGTAATTCTCAGGCAACTGAAGGAGGCGTGGCAAGTCCCACTTAGGTTCCTGGATAAGCAAAGCCTACAAATAAGGTAAGAATATGTATCAGTTCAGTCAATTTTTTTAAAGCATTCATATTTTCTAAAAAAAAAAAAAAAGAGAACACCAAATAAAAGAAACATGCAGTTTAAAAATATCTCATTTCTTTTGCATTTCACAAATTTAGAAGTCAAGTGTCACCTTGTAATAGTCACTTGCACCTGGATGATTACCCTCCCCAACTGCAGTCACATTTCATCCTTTGTAACAGGTACAAAATAGGCACCAGACTTTTCCCAAGGATGTTTTCTACATGTGACATATTTTAAGCGCTAAAACCTTCACAGGTAAAACAAGAGGATTAAGAGTCACCTACAGAAAAGACTCTCCCTGCACTAAGTTTGTCTGGCAGTATCAAGGTGTTACTCCCAAACTCTGGCACTGACTATGAAAGCTGTCTCCCAGCTAAAATTTAGACTCAAATTTTCAAAAACAGATCTGAAGTTAATCTATGTAAATGATATTTGAAGAAATCTGCCCAGTTTTCAAAACTGTACTGGACACACGCCATTTAGAAGTTACCAGAACTCACAGTTTTTGATAAGACAAGCACTCCCTATCTTAAATACTGCTTTGAAAAGCCTAACTCTTCTCATTTCCAATTTCTTCTCACTGTCCAATTTTATGTTGGGGGGG